TTGACTTTGGGTTTTGCCATTCCTCTCCACGTTCACATATGATCTTTAAGAACTTTAAACTAAGTGATTGATACCTGTGCATCAATCAGATTGTACTCTGTTGCAATTTGATCCTAATCCTAATCCTTATCATGGTAATGCTCCACATTTTCTGCTTCCTTGCATCAGAAGAGCAAACCTAATTACTATAGCTAGGAGAACTGTGTAGTAATGTCCAGATCCCTTGCTGTGTATAGCTGATAGCTGGAGCCCCCTAATGTCAAATCACAGTTTCATTGCCCTTACATACACTGAAATTAAAGCACATGGTTTTTAAAAACTTAACTCCATTCTATTGACCAGAAGACCTATCTGTTTATATTTCTCATCCAGACTGTCAGTCAGCAGAATATTATGAACACCCTAAGAAATGTTTTGCCTGGACCACCAGGTGGAAAATTCTAAGAGAATAACCAGTAAAGGGTGAAAAGTGGATTGACACATCCAAATAAGTGCCAAGAACAGGTTTGTTCATGTAGATTCTGGGAAACCAAGGGAAGAAGGAAAAGGCAAGAGAAAAACAACAGAGAATCTAAAGACCAACAAAAAGCAAAAACCATCACATGATTTTTAATTTTGAAATTTTTATTGTCTTTATGTTCATTCCAATAAATGGCCCACAAAGCAAAACATGATCTGTCCTTGGCCTAATCCTAAATGAATGTACTAATTATGCTTTTCCCTAGAAACAGAAAATAACCATGTTACTTCCTAATTTTTTTACTTACACTATATTTTGGGTTATTTAACTCAAAAATTTATAGAATTTTATTTAGAAAACCTATTTTTCATGAAAATCAGTTTCTTCTGCTGTTTAATGTGTTCAGTACTTACAATGTATTAGTACTGTGCCAGTTCTAGGGAGAGAAAAATGGTAGAGATGGTCTTTGTACACATGGTTCTTGTATTCCTTAACAGACTTTAGTAGAGACCCAATTAAAGGCTGTTTAAGCATTTTATATCCCTTGATTTTATATTATACAACTCAATTACCTAGTTTTCCAGATTCTTCTTTTCCTTCACTTTACTGGAACTCTTGTAAATTAGGAACATGATGTTTCACTATTCAATTAATGAAATCACTTCACCAGCATAATTTAATGTCACAATGCAATATGATGGTTTTCCAGATTCTTAAAGGTCATATTCTTTTGATGAGAGAATATATTCTTCTTCTTTAAAAGACTCTCACTGGCTATGCAATAGCTGATAGTATGTTCTAGTAAGCTCTCCTGTCCTGATATGTAAAAAAGTGATATCATGTTTCCTGTATCTTATGAAAAGTTGAGCAGAAGCTTGAGTCTTACATACTACCCTAGACATTTGGCTGTATATATTAGATAATGAATAGTTATGCTGCCAAGGCCCATAAAATTATTAAAACCAAACACTTCATTTTAGATCACATTATAGAACACTGATATTTTCCTAAACAGTTCATGACTTTTCTTCTTTCAGGTCACTAAATTTCTTAAGTAAGCTATGGTTTATTAGCAGTTACCTAGTCAAGACACTATCCAGAATGTCATGCATTAAACTTACTGTTTAGATGGAAAGGGAATAATGACTATCTCAGTCTTTCTGTGTCTGAAATCAAATTGAAGGATAGAAACTGCATAATTCTTCTGGATTTTCATCATCAACCTTCTGAAAGAAACTTGTGAGTCACAGAGCTCTCACAGGGAGTTGGGTATTCTTAATAAGGTAACAAACTTCTGTTCAAAATGCTAGTCACCTGTTTTCCAATGCTATTTACTATTCCCAAATGATTAATGGAAGAAGACACAATCTAAACAGCAAAGTGCCTGGGGACCTCGTTACTGAAGCAGCTCCTTTGCCAATCCTGAGTGTAACATTTGTGAGTAGGAGTTGTCTAAGTTATTAGAAACAATCTCTGGGGTACAAAGGAGAATTTTCCCTCTTAAGGTTAGCTTTGGTTTTGCTAAGATCCATAATGCTTTTCGTTCACTTCTCCAGGGTCCAGGGAAGGAAGTATAAGACCTTGTGGCATGTATCTTCATGTGTGGAAAATTCCAAGGAGCAATTCTCAAGTGGGGCTTCAGTATGTGTGAATCTCTGCTATTATGAACACACAAGAACAACCAATGCTCTGATGCTTTAAATAAAAAGTCTCTTGACATAATATTGCCAAAGACAGTTTACAAATTTAATGAAAGGTCTATTTAAAAACCCAATGTCATTCTTGACAGAGATTTAAAAAATTCCTATAAGCTGGGTGCTGGTGGTTCATGCCTGTAATCCTAAGATACTCAGGAGGCTAAGACTGAGGATCACAGTTCAAAGCCAGCCCTGGCAGGAAAGTCCATGAAACTCTTATCTCCAATAAACCACCAGAAAAACCGGAAGTGACCCTGTAGCCTTGAGCTGAAATGCTGAGGGACAGCACTCAGGCCCAGAGTTCAAGCCCCATGACCACCACCACCAACAACAGCATCCTATAATTTGTTGGGGTTTTTTTGCTTGTTTGTTTGTTTTGGGTCCTGTTGTGGGGCCTGAACTCTGGGCCTGGGCGCTGTCCCTCAGCTCTTCAGCTCAAAGCTAGCGCTCACCACTTGAGCCACTGTGCCACTTCCGGCTTTTTTCTTTTTGCTTATGTGGTGCTGAGGAATTGAACCCAGGGCCTCATGCATGCAAGGCAAGTGCTCTATCACTGAGCCACATTCCCAGCCCAACATCCTATAATTTGTATGGAAAGGCACAAGGTCTCAAATAGCAAAGCAATCTTGTGGGAAAAAAAGTGCTGAAATGTCACATTTTCAGACTTCAGACGATACTATAAAACTACAATAACAGAAACAAGTTGGAACTGGCACTAAACAGACTCAAAGACTGTCAGAACAGACTAAAAGACCCATAAATAAATCTACACTACTGCAGCCAACTAACTTTTGACAAATACACATTCAAGAAAACATAGCCTCTTTGACAAATGGATCTGGGAGAATTGGATATGCAGATAACTAAAGTTGGACCCCTTGCTCACCCTTCATCCAATATCATTTCAAAATTTTAATTTATAGCATTACACTTTAAGACTTCTACTTGACAGTAAAACCATAATCTTCCCATGTTGGCTATCATGAACTGTTTAAAAAAACGAAGGGAAACAAAGAAAAAAGGAAATAACACTTCATAGATTCTGAGGAAAAAAGAATACAAACTTTTATTTTTAAACAGTCCTATAAAGATAAAATTGCAGTTGGTATAATTTGTGGAGGGGAAGGGAAAAACAAATTGTTTAAATAGGGATACAGGTGGACCCATTGCCACAATGAGATGTACAAGTTGGTTATGTCGAAAAACTTTACAACTTTGGTGGGGGGGAGGATCGGGTAGGGGGGTGAGGGGGGATGGGAAGGGGAAACAAAGGAGGAGGCAACAATGCTTGATAAGAAATGTACTCATTACCTTGCCCATGTAATTGTAACCTCTCTGTACAGTATTTTCACAATAAAAGAAAAAGATAAAATTGCAATGAATTGAGTCACTGTAACAAGAGCTTAACAAACCTGATTTAATTTTTTTTTTTTGATGCAGGTCCTTGGGCTTGAGCTCAGGGCCTGGGCATTGTCCCTGAACTTGTTGCTTAAGGCTAGCACTCTACCACTTAAAGCAATAGCTCACTTATGGCTTTTTGGTTGTTATTTAGAGATAAGAATCTCATAAACATTACTGTACAAATGTTACTGCTCAGGCTTGTTTTAAACTTCAATCTCCATATTTCAGCCTCCTGAGTAGCTAGGCATGAGCCACCAGCACCTGGTGCCATCACATGCTAGTTTCTTTCATTTGTTTTCTTTTCCTTTTTCTCAAACTAGCCTATGTTAACTTAAATGAAAATAATATGAAAACACTTTCATAGATGATATCTTGCCTCTTCAGGGTCATACCACAAATCTGGTAGATTCTGTATGTGATACAAACTTCCTGGCTCAGTGTGAATGAGTGTTCCCAGATGTAGGGCAAGATGAGAAAAAGGATCCTTCCTTGAACCAGAAACCTGCTTTCACCTTTTATAAAGTACAGCCATGAAATTTCATTTTGAACTAGATAAAGAGTTAAAAGGATCCATGAAACTTCTGAAAATTAACCATGGCAGGCTTAGGAATTTCATGTTACAGTCACAAGTAAATCTTCAATCTTCTGTTCATTAAAACGTATCATGAAAGTTGAATGTAAAACATTTATGTATATAATGTTATTTCAGAGAGCTTAGGTCACTTCTACAAAAAGCATTCTACTTTAACTTAGCTTATTCTATTCTATCCTCTTTAATGCTTTGTTGTCTTTTTTAAAAATTCAACTTATTAATATCTTTATTTTTCAGTCTTAGTTTTCTCATCTGAGCCTCTCAGACCTGAGTACAGCTCTATGCCATGTTTTATACAAATTTGATTCCATATTTTAATCAAGCAGAGAACATATATTCATTTATAACATGGTCTTCCACTAATGTTTTGACAGTTTCTTGAATGTAATGCAGGCTTGGCATTTATCGAAACAGGAGCACAAGAAAAGCTGGGATAGGGAAACATATGTAGCCCCTCAATTACTGCAACAATAAAGAGTTCATCCTGACCTGTGTTCGAACTATTTGCTATGGTATTTTACAACCCTTTTGGATTTTTGTGACACTAACTTGTTATAAATCATTAACACTATTCTCAGGAATTATGTAGTTTTGTGCCATTATGTGTGAGTGCACTTGGGGAGGAATAGTAGAAAGACACACCCTTGTCCATTGCCTAATTCTACATCTGCTTATTTCTCACTGGTGTAGAGCAGAACCCAGAGAAATATGAATATTCCAAGAGGAAACTTTATTTTCATACTCAATTCATCAAGTTTGCTTTTTTGATCTCATAATTGAAGGCAACATAAAATTAACATAACTTGTATAAATATATATACAAACTGAAGGCCCGAATAAACAGTCCTGGTTATGATGAGAGATATTTTAGCCCTAGGACTCTGCACACAGCAACTCTGACCTCCTTATTCCTCATGCTGTAGACAACAGGGTTCAGCAGGGGGGTGATGACAGTGTAGGTCACTGAGATGAGTCTGTCCTGCTCCATGGAACTCTCGGACTCAGGCTTGAGGTAAACAAAAGAGGCACAGACATAGTGGATGATGAACACCGTGAGGTGGGAGGCACAGGTGGCAAAGGTCTTCTTCCGCCCCTCAGCTGAAGCAATCTTAAGGATGGAGGAGATGATGAGGACATAGGAGATGAACACTAGGCACATGGGCAGAACCAGAGCACAGAGACTGAAAACAATATTGATAATTTCATTAACAGTGGTATCTGTGCAGGACAGTTTCAGCATGGGTCTCACATCACAAAAGAAGTGGGGGATGACAAACTTATCACAGAATGACAATTTAAACATATATGTTACATGAACAGTGGCTATGATCAGGCCAGTCACAAGTGATACAAATTGTATACGGGTGCAAGTTGCTTTGCTCATAATGACAGAATATCTTAGGGGTTTACAAATGGCCACATAGCGATCATATCCCATGGCCGTGAGCAAGAAGCAGTTGTTAGCACCAAACATTAGATAGAAGAAGAGCTGGGCGCCACAGCCCGGAAAAGAAATAGTCTGCTGAGGATTGAGGAGGCCAAAAAGCATCCGTGGAATGATGGTCACAGTGTAGCAGGTCTCAGAGATGGAGAGCATGCACAGAAAGAAGTACATGGGAGTGTGCAGGTGACGGTCCAAGCGAATAATGGTCACAATAATCATGTTTCCGGACAGGTTCAGCAGGTACAATATCAGGAACACTACAAAGAAGATCAACCTGTGGTGCCACTGAAAGTTGGAGAAACCTTCAAAGAGGAACTCAGTCACAAATGTGGAGTTTGGCTTTGACATTGAGGCAGGTGTAGGTTTTAAGGAAAAGAAAACATAGGTATGCTGTGTGAACCATGAGACTGATCAGGGTGGACCATGCCTTTACTGTTGTTCCCATGCAGAACAAGTCCTCAGACTTCAATAATATCACTGTTCAGTTGATCAGTTGCTCCATCTTCCTTTTTGCCCACTCCCTTCTTTGGTACTGTGAAGAAGTTTCTTTAGAATGCCTAGAATTAAAGGCAGAGATGGAGGTGAGAAGGAAAGTAGAGAGAAATTGAAAGATAATTGTGGAAAAAGCACTTGATTTCAGGTTATTGATTATATAGCAAGAAATTAAGATTGATATCTTGGGGGCTGGGGATGTGGCTTAGTGGTAGAGTGCTTGCCTAGCATGCATGAAGCCCTGGGTTTGATTCCTCCATACCACATAAACAGAAAAGGCCAGGAATAGGCTCAAGTGGTAGAGTGCTAGAGTTGAGCAAAAGAAGCTCAGGGACAGTGCTCAGGCCCTGAATTCAAGCCCAGGACTGGCAAAAATGATCAATACCTTTTATCTCTGTGTTTAAATTTTTAAGCTATGTTTAAAAATGAGGTTCTAATCCTTCCAAAGTATAGCATCCCTGGTAACATATATATGTATCCATATATATATATATATATATACACACACACACACATATACACATACATATATATATATATATGTATATTTAAATAACATTCCTCCTGTTGAGAGGGCACCTCCTTGTTTTGATTTGCATTTTCCTGGAAATTTACTGATTTTAGAGCATCTTATTTCATTTCTGAATTATACTCACTACCTGAAGGTAGTATCTCTATCTGCATGTTTTTAAAGTTGTTTTTAATATTATTATAAAGGTGATGTTCGGAGGGGTTATAGTTTCATAAGTCAGATGAAGAGGACATTTTTTGGACAATATCACTCTTTCCCTTTCCCTCCTGTTCCCACTCACAAGTTGTTTCTTTCATTTTTACCATAGCTTCTAGTGAGTGCTGCTGCTACGTTTGTTCACTCTTTGTCCCTCCATTTCTGTGCCCCTTTACCCTACCCAAGACAGATAAACAAATAAACAATACAAAAAAGAAATAAAAACATCAAAGGAACAAAACCTCATTTCCATTTCATGCAGTTCATTTTGATAATGTGTGTGTATCAAGGCATTATTTACTATGGAAAGCTTATGAAAACATGGCCAGATAGGTAAATGAAATGTGGTACCTACAGAGGATTGAATAATAGATGTTCTGTTTGACAGCTTTAAAGAAAGGAATTCTTACATTTATAAAACATAGACAAACCTAATAAGTAGTAATATTAATTAATAAAGTACAAATATTGTATGATTTCACTAACATGAGGTACCTGAAATAAGTGGCATTGACCATTGGAGAGAACAAAGAAAATTGAGTATTGTAATTCAAGTGCTGTAAAGTTTTCATTCTTCAGCAGGAATTAGTTTTTCATCTCTTCTGTGCAACATACTAATGCCTATAGTCAACAATACTGTATTTAAATTTAAAGTTTTTAGAGGTAGTTGATTTCTTGTTAACTGTCTTACTACAAAAGAAAACAAAATACCAAGGAACATAAGGAAACACTTGAAGGTGGTAGATCTTCCTTTACCTTTATTTTTGTGATCGTTACATGATAGAATGTATATACAAAATGTATTTAGTTCATTGGGTATCAATTATCTTTCCTCCCAACTGCTAAATAGGTCAAGAAATAACCACTTGGCAATTGGAAAGATGGTTAGGTAAAGATGGAAAGGTTAGATAGAGATAGGTTATATATCAAGTGTCCAACTATTTACATCCTCTCCAATGCATCTTCAGTTGGTACCACAAGGACTCAGACTGATACCTGTTTTGTCCTGTTAGTCTTCAATCCCCAATGCCAGCAATGTTTAGTTTGAAATCTCCTGTCATACTGAAAGCCTAGAAAAGCATAATCTTCTTGTAGACTCTGTCAGAACTAACCTCTGATATCGTGAAAAAATAATTGCATATTAGTATAAATATTAAACTTCTCTTGACTCCTGCAATTGAATTGTGTCTACTGATGTTCCTTCAAGTAGGCCACAGTCTTTCCTATTGTGAAAACAAAGACAAAATTGGTTTTATTAGAAAAAAAACAGATCTTCTGTTTAACTTTATTTCTACACATTCTACTTTGGCTTCGAGACAGCAAAGAACAGGCTTATCTACTTTATATCTTATTCCAAGTGAACCAACATTGGAATTGGCAGATTTAAGCTTGCACCTTATCAGATTTCAACACTACCTCTGTTCACGATGCTGAGCATCACTTGAATAGTTGCTTTTACTTTCTACCCAACCCATAAACTGTGCCACCTGAGGCTTTCTTATTAGTCCAGTCTTTTTTTTCCTGTATTTCATTTTATTTTTGTTAGCATATCTAATTGTACAAAAGGATTTCATTGTGTTACTACAGGTATACAACATACTTTGAGCCAATTCATTTCACCTATATTACTTTTTATACCTCTTCCTTTCCTTCAAACATATTTTGGTGGCTTTCATCATGCTACTTTCATATATGTAACTATAATGTACATATCTAATTTTCATCTTCTTATCATCTTCTCCACCTTCAAATGTTTATTTCCCCACCAAGTAGTTTCTCTCTAAAATCTCTTTGTTTACAAGTATGTCACATCATTAAAGTTTTTAGGACTAAAAACCATATTTAAGTCACTGCCAATATATATAGGAAGGTTCTTCAAGAAACTAAACATATAACCATCATATTGTCTTGTTCTGACATTTGGGGGTATAAATCCAAAAGAATGTAAATCACATACAAGAGAAATATCTAAGCATCCATTATTGTGGCAGTACTCATCACAATAAGCCAAGTTATAGAACCATACTATTTGTCCCAAACCAATGATTAGATAAAGAAAATGTCACACACACACACACACACACACACACACACACACACACACACTGAGTTATTCAGCCACAAAGAAGAGTAAAATTATTATGTCATTTCTGGGGAAAAATGGATAGAACTGGAGATGGTAAATGAAATAAGCCAAATTCAGTAAGAAACTATTCCTGTTTACATCATACATTCTACTAACACCCAAATTTGATACCTATCATCACCTCTATGTGATAGGGATTTCTTCCTAACTCATTTTCTACCTATCAATCAGTCATACCCTATGTCTTCCTTTTGAATGTTGCCATTATGTTCTTCTGAAATATCTGTTTGCTGAGCATTCCTGTAAAACTTCCTTTAATTGCTCTCCAAAATCTTAAGCACAATATTAAAACTCATTTGTAAATCAATTATGGTAACATAAGAACAAGTCTTTATGAAGATTAAATAGGTTAATGTACTTCAAGTATGGGATCTGAACCTTAACACACAGAAAGTCCTTGATGAATAGTAGTGTCATTAGATGCTATTCATTTCTATTTTTCATGAATGAGCCAGTTGAAATTTAGAGGAGGAGAGAGTAGAATTGGAGGTGTGGGACTCAAGCAAACATTCCTGGTTTGTAAACAATTCTTTGAATACTTGGCATTTTACCATTATCTTTGAATACTTGGATTTCTCCATTATCTTCCCACATTCTCATATGGCCTTTTCATAGTATTTTTTTTGTCAGTTGTGGGACTTGCCTGTGCGCTGTCCCTTAGCCCTTCAGCTCAAGGCTAGTACTCTACCACTTGTGCCACAGCACTGTTTTTGCTTTTTCTGCTTATGTGGTGCTGAGGGATTGAACCCAGGGCCTCATGCATGCAAGGCAAGCACCCTACCACTGAGCCACCTTCCCAGCCCCTTTCATATTTTTTAAAGAAGGTTTGTGTAAGTGTACCAGTGGATAAAATTTTATATACTGCTGAACTACTCCCGAATGTAAGTGCAGATTAGATGGAATATAAATTTCAATTTTGCTTCTTTCTATTCCCTATCCTGGCAACATTCTGCTCAACATTCTGCTCTTTCCTTTGAGCAAAAGAGCTCATCCAGTTACTATATCTAGGAACAACCAAAAGTGATATCTATATTCCCTTGTGGTGTTATCATTGATATCTAGAGCTCACTAATGTCAAATCACAGCTATATTATACTTGTACACAATGACATCTACAAACATTGTTTTGATAACAACTTGACTGAAGTACTTTTTTGCATAAAGTATTCTTTTTGGTTCTTGATCCAGAATGTTAACCATATGTAAATTACCCTAAAAGGTTTTGTATGAACAAGTTTGTGACAGACTCTAACAGAATAACCAGAAAAGGGTACAGAGTGGGCCACAGGCTTAAAGCAGTATCAAGAGTAGGACTATGCACATAGGTTCTAGAAAATGTAGGTAAGGAAAGAAAGACAAAAGAAAAACAATTGTAAGAAATGTAAACATGAACTAACTGCACAAAATTCAGAGGATTTTTGTTTGCTTGCTTATTGCCTTTACATTCTTTTCAATTAATGACACACAAAAGTGAAACAGGATCTGGCCTTGATGAATATACTCTTCATATCTTTTCCTAATTTTTTTCAACTTGCTCTATATTTTGGTTTATTTAAGTAAAAAATTTACTAGATTTTATCCAGGAAACAGGTTTTAGTGAAAATTGGCTTCTTCAGTAGTTTAATGCATATAAGTGGTATACAAGAGCTAGGAAGAAAAATATGGCAAGGATAGTCCTTGTGATTATATTTGCAAACATAGATTCTTTGCCAGTCTTTGGTTCAGAACCAATTCAGTGTCTTTCAAGAATTTTATGCCCCTTTTCTCCAGATTACACAGCCCACTCACTTTGCAAGATTCCTGAAAGTCATTTTCTTTCTGTTACTTAATGCATCACAACGGATCATATGTTCTTCATCCCTCCCCATCCTGGCACATAAGAAAGTGAAATTCACCTAACCATTGTGTTTCTTGCTGCCTAGAGAGAGTTGAACTCAAGCCTGATTCATCTGCACCATGTTAAAAATTGGCCACATGAAAAAT